TTTACGATAATCGGTTAACCAGTATGCTCGAAATCACATTTTAGTAATTGTCTCAAAGAAAACATGTCCCTGAGAAGTATTCCAACGTAGACCCGTTTTATAGTTGCTAGGTGTCAGGGATCCTGGGGTGCTAGTTATATAAAAAATTTATTAAATGAAAGAAATTACTATCTTTCTATGATAAACTTCTATGATAAACTTCTAGACATATGATGGAAGCTTGAAATCAAATACAAATCAAGAACATTTTGGTATCAATTCCATCTTTTACATTCTTAAATCAATTTTATTTTTAAGCGTTTGAGATTAAACTAAACCAAAATTCTCAAAATAAGTACATTATAAGATCAGTTTGATCCAAAGAAGACTTTAATAGGTAGGTATTACGCATTTAACGGATCCGTACTAGAATCAAGTATTTTGTTGAACTTCAGGAATAGCACACATTTTCACTATTAAGGTGTAGGGTATAAAGTGTTTTCCTTAACATCCCTAAGGTATGTTAACTTTTTTAAGCATTTAGCGATAAAACTGTCAATTAACCACATTTATGTTTGTATTTAAGTTTTTATTAATACAATACAAGTATTTTCTATCAACATTATTCATTTTTTATGTAGATATTTTGCTCGTGTTCATAATTTGCTATAATTATTTAATAATCGCATAATTTAATAAGAAAAAAGAACCGCGACGAAAACGCCTTCTTACCCCCAAAAAGAAGGTGTCTATATTGAATTAAACCAGATTTAGAAAATTTAAAATACAATTAATATTAATTTCCTAATTAATTTTAAGTTTAACACAAGCTTTAGTTGTTTAGCGATGCACAATAAAAATAAAAATAAAAATCAGTAGAATAAATAACTAAAACGTATAAAAACATGTTTTAGTTTTTTTCTTGTTGTTGTTTTATTTGTTTAATTCGGAAAAAAAAGAATAAAACAATCAAAAAAACCAATATAAGAATGTATTTCAAATATAAATAAAAATTATGGCAAAATAATTTGCAGATGACGTTATTGGAGAAGGGTATTTAAAGTTAACGAGACGGTTTGTAACATCATGACAGTAATCTTGTAAATATGTCGTAGAGGCCTTTCTTTTCACTTTTCGATATTGTGTAAATTTTATGTAAATATATAAGATTTCCATAAAAGTTTAGTTTATATTTTAATTTTTCTTAAATATATATATTTTTTTAAAGTGAAGGGTGTTTAGAATTAATTTTATACTGCTTCTATTTTTTTATTTCATTCTTAATACTCTTAATACAGATGCGGAAGATTTTAACAAAACATCTTAAACAAGAGCAGTTGACAACAATATTTCAACTGCAAAATTATAAAAATGTCATCAATTCATACGAATAGAGACAAGACCATGCGTCCGTCTGTCTGCTTTGTCAGTCTTGTGCAAAGAACTCGGCGTATGCCTCACTTTCAAATTAGTTTAGAAACGTTATACATACAATTATATATATATTTTTAAAAAAATTTTATTTCTGGGATTAATTATAAATGCAAATTAATTACTTATTTAATAATTATAACTAATAATAATTTGTATTTTTTATTTGGAAAAAAATAAATATTGAATCATAGTACTTAGAGCAAGTTTTTTTTTGGCAAAATTTTAAGTAATTATAATGTTGTGTTTTTTTTAATTATTCTTTTAAATAATTTTGGACTTAAAGTTCAAAGAATTACAGTAACGAAATTTGCACTAATTGAAAATGTTCTATACACTGAAAAAAATTATTCATAACTGGAATGAATTTTGTCATAAATACGTATTATGAAACGAACATGATTTGTTCTACCAAACTATTTTCATTCAGAATAAGAAAAGTCTAGTCTATAGTCTAGTCTATAGTCTAGTCTATAGTCTAGTCTATAGTCTAGTCTATAGTCTAGTCTATAGTCTAGTCTATAGTCTAATCTATAGTCTAGTCTATAGTCTAGTCTATAGTCTAGTCTATAGTCTAGTCTATAATCAAGTCTATAGTCTAGTCTATAATCTAGTCTATAGTCTAGTCTATAGTCTAGTCTATAGTCTAGTCTATAGTCTAGTCTATAGTCTAGTCTATAGTCTAGTCTATAGTCTAGTCTATAGTCTAGTCTATAGTCTAGTCTATAGTCTAGTCTATAGTCTAGTCTATAGTCTAGTCTATAGTCTAGTCTATAGTCTAGTCTATAGTCTAGTCTATAGTCTAGTCTATAGTCTAGTCTATAGTCTAGTCTATAGTCTAGTCTATAGTCTAGTCTATAGTCTAGTCTATAGTCTAGTCTATAGTCTAGTCTATAGTCTAGTCTATAGTCTAGTCTATAGTCTAGTCTATAGTCTAGTCTATAGTCTAGTCTATAGTCTAGTCTATAGTCTAGTCTATAGTCTAGTCTATAGTATAGTTTATAGTCTAGTCTATAGTCTAGTCTATAGTCTAGTCTATAGTCTAGTCTATAGTCTAGTCTATAGTATAGTCTATAGTCTAGTCTATAGTCTAGTCTATAGTCTAGTCTATAGTCTAGTCTATAGTCTAGTCTATAGTCTAGTCTATAGTCTAGTCTATAGTCTAGTCTATAGTCTAGTCTATAGTCTAGTCTATAGTCTAGTCTATAGTCTAGTCTATAGTCTAGTCTATAGTCTAGTCTATAGTCTAGTCTATAGTCTAGTCTATAGTCTAGTCTATAGTCTAGTCTATAGTCTAGTCTATAGTCTAGTCTATAGTCTAGTCTATAGTCTAGTCTATAGTCTAGTCTAAAGTCTAGTCTATAGTCTGGTCTATAGTCTAGTCTATAGTCTAGTCTATAGTCTAGTCTATAGTCTAGTCTATAGTCTAGTCTATAGTCTAGTCTATAGTCTAGTCTATAGTCTAGTCTAGTCTATAGTCTAGTCTATAGTCTAGTCTATAGTCTAGTCTATAGTCTAGTCTATAGTCTAGTCTATAGTCTAGTCTATAGTCTAGTCTATAGTCTAGTCTATAGTCTAGTCTATAGTCTAGTCTATAGTCTAGTCTATAGTCTAGTCTATAGTCTAGTCTATAGTCTAGTCTATAGTCTAGTCTATAGTCTAGTCTATAGTCTAGTCTATAGTCTAGTCTATAGTCTAGTCTATAGTCTAGTCTATAGTCTAGTCTATAGTCTAGTCTATAGTCTAGTCTATAGTCTAGTCTATAGTCTAGTCTATAGTCTAGTCTATAGTCTAGTCTATAGTCTAGTCTATAGTCTAGTCTATAGTCTAGTCTATAGTCTAGTCTATAGTCTAGTCTATAGTCTAGTCTATAGTCTAGTCTATAGTCTAGTCTATAGTCTAGTCTATAGTCTAGTCTATAGTCTAGTCTATAGTCTAGTCTATAGTCTAGTCTATAGTCTAGTCTATAGTCTAGTCTATAGTCTAGTCTATAGTCTAGTCTATAGTCTAGTCTATAGTCTAGTCTATAGTCTAGTCTATAGTCTAGTCTAGTCTAGTCTAGTCTAGTCTATAGTCTAGTCTATAGTCTAGTCTATAGTCTAGTCTATAGTCTAGTCTATAGTCTAGTCTATAGTCTAGTCTATAGTCTAGTCTATAGTCTAGTCTATAGTCTAGTCTAGTCTAGTCTAGTCTAGTCTAGTCTAGTCTAGTCTATAGTCTAGTCTATAGTCTAGTCTAGTCTATAGTCTAGTCTATAGTCTAGTCTATAGTCTAGTCTATAGTCTAGTCTATAGTCTAGTCTATAGTCTAGTCTATAGTCTAGTCTATAGTCTAGTCTATAGTCTAGTCTATAGTCTAGTCTATAGTCTAGTCTATAGTCTAGTCTATAGTCTAGTCTATAGTCTAGTCTATAGTCTAGTCTATAGTCTAGTCTATAGTCTAGTCTATAGCTAGTCTAGTCTAGTCTATAGTCTAGTCTATAGTCTAGTCTAGTCTAGTCTATAGTCTAGTCTATAGTCTAGTCTATAGTCTAGTCTATAGTCTAGTCATAGTCTAGTCTATAGTAGTCTATAGTCTAGTCTATAGTCTAGTCTATAGTCTAGTCTATAGTCTAGTCTATAGTCTAGTCTATAGTCTAGTCTATAGTCTAGTCTAGTAGTCTATAGTAGTCTATAGTCTAGTCTATAGTCTAGTCTATAGTCTATAGTCTAGTCTATAGTCTAGTCTATAGTCTAGTCTATAGTCTAGTCTATAGTCTAGTCTATAGTCTAGTCTATAGTCTAGTCTATAGTAGTCTATAGTCTAGTCTATAGTCTAGTCTATAGTCTAGTCTATAGTCTAGTCTATAGTCTAGTCTATAGTCTAGTCTATAGTCTAGTCTATAGTCTAGTCTATAGTCTAGTCTATAGTCTAGTCTATAGTCTAGTCTATAGTCTAGTCTATAGTCTAGTCTATAGTCTAGTCTATAGTCTAGTCTATAGTCTAGTCTATAGTCTAGTCTATAGTCTAGTCTATAGTCTAGTCTATAGTCTAGTCTATAGTCTAGTCTATAGTCTAGTCTATAGTCTAGTCTATAGTCTAGTCTATAGTCTAGTCTATAGTCTAGTCTATAGTCTAGTCTATAGTCTAGTCTATAGTCTAGTCTATAGTCTAGTCTATAGTCTAGTCTATAGTCTAGTCTATAGTCTAGTCTAGTCTAGTCTAGTCTATAGTCTAGTCTATAGTTTAGGCTATGGTCTAGTGAACTTCAGTGGTCGCTTTAGCACGAGTTGATCAATACGTTGTTGATGAATATCAGGTCCTGTAGAAACACCCATTTAAAATCCGATGAAAATCTGTAAAATGTTTCCTTTAGTTTAGCCTGAAGTAAATTGAAAATTAAATATCAATTTTCATAATTATTCAAAATAAGCAACAAATTGTTAATGCATAAATTAAGTTTAAACCTCAAACGTTTTTCTAACCACCAATAAAATTGACTCTGCTTTGTATTTTCATTCTTCCAATCATTTCCTGTTTAATTATACAATTTGCAAAAATGGAACTGCAAAAAATTTATTTCATTAACAATTAAACTTCAAGAAAACATGTTTTTTTTCATTCGATTCTTTTATAAAATTTATTTAAATTAAAATAAATTTTATAATGACATTTATTATAATAAACGAAATCGTTATACAATTTTACTATAGAATAATTATAGCATTCAGATTCTTAGAATCCAAATATGAATGTCATCATGAGCTTAATAACGACGGCGACGGATGACACGACGTTTGGCGGTCTTGTAACGGTAGCCTTCAGCAGAGGAGAAGGAGTGAGCTGGTTCGGAAGCAGCAGATTCGTAAGAAACAGCTGGAGCAGAGTATGAAGCAGCAGGGGCAGAGTAGGAGGCAGCTGGTGCAGAGTATGAGACAGCTGGGGCAGATTCGAATTGAGCAACTGGAGCGGAAGCGGCTACAGGAGGCAGGTATTCAGCGGAAGGAGCAGAAGCGGCACCTTGGTGGGGAGGCAAGTATTCGCTGGACAAGTGGCTGACATCACGACGGCGACGACGGATGACACGGCGTTTGGCAGTTCTGTAACGGTAACCTTCACCAGAAGAGAAGGAGTGGGCAGGTTCAGCGGCAGCAACTTCATAAGATTCGTAAGAAGCAGCAGGGGCAGCATAAGACTCAACAGGAGCAGATTCGTATTGGGCAACTGGAGCAGAAGCGGCTACAGGAGGCAAGTATTCGGTGGAGACATCACGACGGCGACGACGGATGACACGGCGTTTGGCAGTTCTGTAACGGTAACCTTCACCAGAAGAGAAGGAGTGAGCTGGTTCACTGGCACCAACTTCGTAGGCAGAAGATACGAATGAGGCAGCTGGACCAGCAAAGGCTTCTACGGGAGTTGTTTCGTATTGACCAATGGGGGTGGAAGCGGCTACTGGAGGCAAGTATTCGGTGGAGACTTCACGACGACGGCGGATGACACGGCGTTTAGCGGTCTTGTAACGGTAACCTTCAGCAGAGGAGAAGGAGTGAGCTGGTTCAGAAGCAGCAGTTTCGTAAGAGCTGTATGAAGCACCAGGGGCGGAAGCAGCAACAGAGAAGGATGGAGCAGATTCGTATTGAGCAACTGGAGCGGAAGCGGCTACAGGAGGCAAGTATTCAGCGGAAGGAGCGGAACCAGCACCTTGGACAGGAGGCAAGTATTCGCTGGACAAGTGGCTGACATCACGACGGCGACGACGGATGACACGGCGTTTGGAAGTTCTGTAGCGGTAACCATCAGCAGAGGAGAAGGAGTGGGCTGGTTCAGCGGCAGCAACTTCATAAGATTCGTAAGAGGCAGCTGGGGCAGCATAAGACTCAACAGGAGCAGAGTCGTATTGGGCAACTGGAGCGGAGGCAGCTACAGGGGGCAAGTATTCAGTAGAGACATCACGACGGCGACGACGGATGACACGGCGCTTGGAAGTTCTGTAACGGTAACCTTCAGCAGAGGAGAACGAGTGAGCTGGTTCAGCGGCAGCAACTTCATAAGATTCGTAAGAAGCAGCTGGGGCAGCATAAGACTCAACTGGAGCAGATTCGTATTGGGCAACTGGAGCGGAAGCAGCTACAGGGGGCAAGTATTCAGTGGAGACATCACGGCGACGACGGATGACACGGCGTTTGACGGTCTTGTAACGGTAACCTTCATCAGATGAGAAAGTGTGAGCTGGTTCAGCAGCAGCGGTTTCAAAAGAGGATGTTTCGTAACTGGCAGCAGGGGCAGAAGCAGCTTCAACATGGAAAGATTGAGCAGCTGGAGCGGGAGCAGAATAAGAGACAGCTGGAGCTGAGGCAGCTTCAACATGGAAAGATTGTGCAGCTGGAGCGGGAGCAGAGTATGAAACAGCTGGGGCTGGAGCAGAAGCAGCTTCAACATGGAAAGATTGAGCAGCTGGAGCAGGGCTGTAGCTTACAGCGGGAGCTGAAGCAGCTTGTTGATGAGGGGGCAAGTACTTGTTGGACAAGTGGCTGACATCAGCAGTTGCGGCAGCAACCAAGGCGCACAATACGATGAAGAATTTCTATAATGAAAATGTTTGAACAATTTGAGTTAATCTTGTTTTGGAAAATTAGCTTTAGCTAATATTTTACTAACCATTTTGAAGTGCTGACTTCCTTATCGACTTAGAATCGAATGGTAAATGATACTTTCTTCCGTTCTTCACAACGTTTTTATACAAAACACTAAATGCAGGAAATTTGCATATTTTGCACAAAATAATCAACTAATTATTTATGACACTTTTTTTCTGTTGCGTTTATTTTATTGCAAATAGATAAAAACTTTTATGCAAGCCGGTTTTTTTTCGATTATTTTGTTGTTTCTTCTTTTCATAAACGTTCTTTTTTTCATTTGCTTATTAATAATTCTTTAAATTATATTCGAAAGGAAAATTGATTTGCTAAATAGTAGTGCATATTTTGAAGCTGATAATAAATTTCCAGATTTCTATTCAATTGTCAAATTTTAATGCAAAGCAAGTTATAATTTTTATTTTAATTAAAATGTGCAATTGCTCCAAAAATTACTACATAAAATTTATAGACACTTGAGGATTTTTTAGGTGCAGTTATAATGATTAAGGTCTAAGGACAACTTCTCACTACAGTGGGAAGGGTATTTTGTACTGATGTATGTAATGCACTAAAAGATTAGTAGTATTCCCACCCTAAATTCACTGAGAATCACGTTCTGCGTCGATTGTCATTCGATTGACGTCGATTGACGGTGTGTCCATGTTAAAGATAATTTGATGAAATTTGGCCCAAGGGAAAGCGTATTGAAAATGGCAAAATCGGTCCATTATTGTATCGCGATAGAACGTAGCAAAACTAAGTTTTGTACAGGTCTTAATGACCTTGCCTAATTTCGAAATGATCGGGCACCATTTGACTCTATCCCCAATACAAAGTGCCCTTCAGAAAAAGATTGAATATCTCCAATTCAGTTATTAACACAACTTTTTCGATGATATTCAGCACAAATTAATATTACAAAAATGTTATTGAGATCGGTCCACCCCCATATAAAGATTCTTTCAGGGAATTTGTTTTTGGCAATAAATTCCTTTAATAAATCGCAACTAAGGTAAAAAGATAACAAATATTTTAATACGACAATCACATTACATGTTCATTACTGGTGTGGGGTATCATATGGTCGGCCACGCCCGACTGTACTTTCTTACTTGCTCTAAAATGGAAAATTTCGAAATACAAATGGAAAGTTCTAAAATGCAATCGGAAATTTCTGAAATAGTTAGTTAGTTAGTTAGTTAGTTAGTTAGTTAGTTAGTTAGTTAGTTAGTTAGTTAGTTAGTTAGTTAGTTAGTTAGTTAGTTAGTTAGTTAGTTAGTTAGTTAGTTAGTTAGTTAGTTAGTTAGTTAGTTAGTTAGTTAGTTAGTTAGTTAGTAGTTAGTTAGTTAGTTAGTTAGTTAGTTAGTTAGTTAGTTAGTTAGTTAGTTAGTTAGTTAGTTAGTTAGTTAGTTAGTTAGTTAGTTAGTTAGTTAGTTAGTTAGTTAGTTAGTTAGTTAGTTAGTTAGTAGTTAGTTAGTTAGTTAGTTAGTTAGTTAGTTAGTTAGTTAGTTAGTTAGTTAGTTAGTTAGTAGTTAGTTAGTAGTTAGTTAGTTAGTTAGTTAGTTAGTTAGTTAGTTAGTTAGTTAGTTAGTTAGTTAGTTAGTTAGTTAGTTAGTTAGTTAGTTAGTTAGTTAGTTAGTTAGTTAGTTAGTAGTTAGTTAGTTAGTTAGTAGTTAGTTAGTTAGTTAGTTAGTAGTTAGTTAGTTAGTTAGTTAGTTAGTAGTTAGTTAGTTCGTTAGTTAGTTAGTTAGTTAGTTAGTTAGTTAGTTAGTTAGTTAGTTAGTTAGTAGTTAGTTAGTTAGTTAGTTAGTTAGTTAGTTAGTTAGTAGTTAGTTAGTTAGTTAGTTAGTTAGTTAGTTAGTTAGTTAGTTAGTTAGTTAGTTAGTTAGTTAGTTAGTTAGTTAGTTAGTTAGTTAGTTAGTTAGTTAGTTAGTTAGTTAGTTAGTTAGTTAGTTAGTAGTTAGTTAGTTAGTTAGTAGTTAGTTAGTTAGTTAGTTAGTTAGTTAGTTAGTTTAGTTAGTTAGTTAGTTAGTTAGTTAGTTAGTTAGTTAGTTAGTAGTTAGTTAGTAGTAGTTAGTTAGTTAGTTAGTTAGTTAGTTAGTTAGTAGTTAGTTAGTAGTTAGTTAGTTAGTTAGTTAGTTAGTTAGTTAGTTAGTAGTTAGTTAGTAGTTAGTTAGTTAGTTAGTTAGTAGTTAGTAGTTAGTTAGTTAGTTAGTTAGTTAGTTAGTTAGTTAGTTAGTTAGTTAGTTAGTTAGTTAGTTAGTTAGTTAGTTAGTTAGTTAGTTAGTAGTTAGTTAGTTAGTAGTTAGTTAGTTAGTTAGTTAGTTAGTTAGTTAGTTAGTTAGTAGTTAGTAGTTAGGTAGTTAGTTAGTTAGTTAGTTAGTTAGTTAGTTAGTTAGTTAGTTAGTTAGTTAGTTAGTAGTTAGTTAGTTAGTTAGTTAGTTAGTTAGTTAGTTAGTTAGTTAGTTAGTTAGTTAGTTAGTAGTTAGTTAGTTAGTTAGTTAGTAGTTAGTTAGTTAGTTCGTTAGTTAGTTAGTAGTAGTTAGTTAGTTAGTTAGTTAGTTCGTTAGTTAGTTAGTTAGTTAGTTAGTTAGTTCGTTAGTTAGTTAGTGTTAGTTAGTTTAGTTAGTTAGTAGTTAGTTAGTTAGTTAGTTAGTTAGTTAGTTAGTTAGTTAGTTAGTTAGTTAGTTAGTTAGTAGTTAGTTAGTTAGTTAGTTAGTTAGTTAGTTAGTAGTTAGTAGTTAGTTAGTTAGTTAGTTAGTTAGTTAGTTAGTAGTAGTTAGTTAGTTAGTTAGTAGTTAGTTAGTTAGTTAGTTAGTTAGTTAGTTAGTTAGTTAGTTAGTTAGTTAGTTACTCATTTAATTACTCAGTTAGAAGTTACGAGGTCATGTTTAAAATTGATTTAACACAATAATCAATCAAAAAGTACAAATTAATTAAAACATAAAGTTGCAATAAAATAAATGAAAATGTTATAATATCATTAAAGTTTTAACTACTGATGTCATTAAGAATCATGTTACGTTTTTGTCGAAAGTAGTTTAAATTTGACAAATTTTAAATTTGTTGTTCTTTTTTCTACTTTTTATATTTAATCTTTTGTTGTTTTTGTTCATTCAATGAATCATTTAAATAATAGTTTTTTTATATTAATTTATTATTGATGAAATGCTTTATTAATCAAGTTCCCAAATCTGATATAAAGCAGTAGCTCAATGATCTTGATTCAAGACAGAACTGTTTTGTTTCGGAGTTAAGCTAAGTGCAGTGGTATTGTTCTAGCTTGTTGTCAATAACCAAAAAAAATATGGAAACATTGTTTAAGCCAATTGAAAATAAATTTGTTAGTTAAAACGCAATTACATTTTCCACCTTAATAATATCCAAGTAGTACAACAGCCATGCGATATCCTGCGACCAAAGATTTCAGCATGTTCAAGTCTCCACCAGGAGTATTGTAAATAATTTTACAAGACAGTCTCGATCAATAACGTATGGTTCTATGCCATGAAAATACATTCAAAAGCGGAAATGGAACCCACAGGAACTTAACGCAACAGAGATCTAAATACTAAACCCAACATATTTTGGGTAACATCATATGACATAACAACCATTTTTGTGGGTCGGTCTAACGGTCTAACAACCAGATCGAAGAAAGTTCTAAAAATTCTTAAAAAAAAGTTAATACTGTGTTTGCAACCCTGTTTTCCCTCTATAGTCTCTATCTTTTATAACATAGGTTTTCAGGAGAGCAAATTTGCTAGTTAGTAAAGATTTGTATATTTTTTTTTTACAATATTTTCTATGACCGCTATATAATAAAGCTATTAGAAATTAAAATATTGCATTTGTTGGGTCAAATCAAATTTATAAAACAACCTATTTTTAGTTTGTGTGTTCGATTTAAAAAAATTTACATATGTTTATAGAATCCCCCGATCGAATTTCTTATATCAAAGGAGGCGTTAAATTTTCAACAATTTTATCCACAGTTTTCTCATAAGAACGGGTCCAATTATTTACCGATTTTCCACATTTTTTGTTTTTTTGGACTAACAATAAATGCATATATCAAATCAAATAAGAATTCTATATTCGGCTGTGCCGAATCTTATATGATCTTCACCAGTTTCCATGTTTATAAGTAGGTTTAATATTAAAATAGATTCAAAAAGTACCGACTTAAAAACGAAGTAGTACCAAAAAAAATTTCATTTCATCAGGATCCCATATGTATGAGTCTAGGTTCAATAATTCAGAAAATCAAAAAAGTACAATCAGTATGCTACATATCTAATTATGCATCTTTTCAATTCAATGTAGAAAATTCAAAAAGTATCTTAAGAAAAAGAACGCGAAAGTCCCAAAAAGACCTCTTTTATATATTATATTATTTACACCGGGCTTTACATACTTAATCGTGTCTTTGTTTCGGTATAAACACTGTTTACCCTTATACCGGTACAATACCGTTATCATAACGCTATCAATACTGTGATGATGACCACTTATTACAATGCAATGTATTAAAAAAACTGCTGGTCATTACCAAACCATGAGTCCATTTTTAGATGTGATTAAGATGTCGTTTGTAAAATATGAAATAAATTATTTTTTGCTGGGTTAATATCAGGATGCAATCTATATATATAAAAGAGTATCGTTACTGACTGACTTATTCATCATCGCACAGCCCAAACGACACCTGTATCTACTCTTAAAAAAAGCAGATGGGTGTCTGGTACTTTTTTGAAATTCGTACTTTTAAGGGGCGAAAATGTGTAACAAAGGTGATTTTGGTACCTTTTTTGCCCCTTTATAACTTTTTAACTAATAAACAAAATACATTTTTTATAAATATTTTGAACATATCTCCCAAAATTAGGAGACATCTGTTTCGTACTTTTTTAAAATTCAGTCTTTTTTTTGGTTATAAAAGGGAAAACACTGTATTTTTGGTACTTTTCTTTTAGCACATTAAGAAAACTTTTTCGATGTAATGAAGTATTCCTATTAAATTACGGACTAACTCTGTAATATTTATTGAAAAAAAATTTTTGCTATTTCACTGGGGAAAAAAGTACCATAAAGGGGAAAAACGGGAAATTTAATTTTATTCAAACTCATTGACCCAATTTTTATAAAATTTGAAAAAGTAGTTTATTTACTCTCACAAAATAAGCTATTATAAGTATATTATTTTGGAATTCGAGTACTAAGGCCTATGTAGAACCAAATTCGAGTAAATTGTTTGGTACTTTTTGAAAGCACAATTTTTCTGGAATAAATGAATTCGGAGTTGTATCGTTTGAGTTTTATCTGCGATATATAGATTTAAATACGGAACATTTTGTAAACTTAATTTAAAAAAAAAAAGTATATTTCTAAGCGAAAAGGGGAAAAATTGTACTATTTTTATTAGTACTTTCCACTAAGGTAAAATTTATTCTACTTTTGGCACTTTTTCTTTCTTCAAATGATACTCTTTGTATGTTCTATAATATGAATTGAAAACACATGATTATTAAACATACGCGGTCCTCATTGAATAAGATTCTTTAAGAGAGAACTTTTTATCTCATAAATGGTACTTTTTTTAATTTTCTAAAATATTTAACCTAGGAATATAAATTTTAACTGAATAATATTCCGTAAGTGGGAACTATTTGGTACTTTTCTATTCTTCAAATGGTACCTTTTAGATTCTTTATAATGGTTAACCGGAACACACGGTCCTTATTAAATGAGAATTTATTGAGAAAGATTTTTGTACTTTTTCGTTTTTCGAATGGTACTTTTTGATATTTTTACGATATTGAACATAGAAATTGAAAATAAAATTTTAAATGTAGGGATCTTAGTGAATGCGAATCTACTGAAAGGAACTTTTGGTACTTTTTCGTTCATCAAATTATATTTTTTGAATTGTATATAATATTAAACACAGAAACATAAAATTTTTTAATAAATGATAATCTATTAGAGGTATTTGATAATACTTTTTTTCAAAAAGTACTTTCGAAATTTGCTATAATGTGGAAGCTAAATGAATGAAACTAAAAATACAAACTTCTTACTGAATGCGAATTAAATCACGTGATATTGAACGTATAAAACTGAAACATTAAAAAAATGTTTAATTAATTTTAATTTTCCATAAAAGTAAACAAAATTTTGTATGTAGTTAAAAAATAATAAAAATAAAAAAATATTTTTCGAACAGTCCTCAGTTCCCTACCAGCGATTGAAAATCCTGACCCCAGTATAATTTTTAAAAAGTAAAATATCGATTTGATTCTCAAAAATTCCATAATTTTGAGCTGCTTACGGGAAAATTAATCTTAAATTTTTTTGGAGTATTTTTGGTCCTCATAATGATCTTTAGTGGGTTGGAGAGGCGTATTATTTACGCTTTATATCAAAATAGGTGTCAACATTATTTTAAGCTTATACAGAAAACGTAATTTAAAAAATATTTTGCCATTTGGTTTAGTCCGTTTTGTAGACCAGAAATAGAGCAACAAAAATTTTTATTATTTTTCCCGCGATAAGCTCAAAATTGCGGTATTTTTGAAAAGTTTGCATAAAATTTGTTTTCAAAATATTGTACTGAGATCAGGATTTTCAATTGCAGGTACGGAACTGATGACCTTTTCAAAAAAATTGTTTTTATTTTTCTCGTGTTTAGTACATACAAACGCATCGTTTGAGAGGTATGTCTCCAAAAAATAGTGCTCCTCGGGACACCCTATTCTACACCCACCTTAAAGTAAACCAATCGGCTCAGAATATTTTTTGAAGCCATGTCCGTCCATGTGAACCTTGTACTCAAAGTACAGGTCGCTACTTTAAAGATAATTCAATTTTGTCTATTATTTCCCTTAGTCCCCATACAACCAGACTCTCCAGTTTGGGCGTATTTAGACACAATTTATAATCGAATTTTATAATCTTTGGGCCCTATTTGACCATAACCTCAATAGAAAGCCCCCATTAGAAACTGGCTTTTATGTCCATCTAGTGCTGCGAAGACATTTAGCATAAATACATTGTATGTAAACGTAAATCCATTAAGATCAATGATTTTTATAGAAAATTCTTACCTTCGGAACTAGTTCCATGGAAGCCTTATAGGTCACTTGTCCTATGGAACGGTTCTGGAACAGTTTATATAGCTTAAAACATATACACCTTCCTTAGAACCTTAGTTATGAAACTTATTCTTTTCTTAGCGAATTTTGTTTCAAATTTTTAAGATTGGGTCCAATTTTGAGAAAGAGTTAATGATATTTTTAAATCTTTCAGGAGCCAGAATTATAATACTATTCATAAAAGATATAAGAATCTAGCTTATCATTCGTTGTTCAATTTCTTAGATACATTAACTAGTGTCATATAATTGGTTCCTTAAAACTACTTAGAATCACTTTAGAATCACAACATTGTTCCAAATAATGAGTTCTAGAAGTAAAGGTGAAATCACTAGTTCCGTGGATTTTTTTTCGAGGCTATAAAATGGTTCTGTTTAGTTTCTTTGGGGAACTCACTAACATTAATGACTGAATGATTCATTATTGCACTGAATAAACGGTTGAAACTAGAATGTTTAAATTTGGACAGATCATTGGTACCAAGAGAGTACCAAGCACTATTGTTTGGTACTTTTTCATTCTTCAACTGATCCTTTTTGAATCTCTTAAACATTATATTTGAATAAGTAAACAATACAGTATTTTATTTGGATCGTTTGTAAAATTTATTTAAAAAGAAATAAATTGCATTACATTAGAAAATTGTCATACAATTTTAGCATACAATATCTGTTCCATTTAGATTCTTAGAATCTAAATATATATGTTATAAATTTAGGTACGAGTGACTTAGAAACGACGACGACGGATGACGCGACGTTTGGCGGTCTTGTAACGGTAACCTTCAGCAGAAGAGAAGGAGTGAGCTGGGGCTGAAGCAGCAGTTTCGTAAGAGCTGTAAGAAGCAGCAGGGGCGGAGTATGAGGCAGCTGGGGCGGAGTATGAGGCAACTGGGGCAGAGTATGAGGCAGCTGGAGCAGAGTAAGAGGCAGCTGGGGCGGAGTATGAAGCTACTGGGGCAGAGTATGAGGCGGAGAAGGAAGGAGCAGATTCGTAGTGAGCAGCAGGAGCGGAGGCAGCTACAGGAGGCAAGTATTCACCGGAAGGAGCAGAAGCAGCACCTTGGTGAGGAGGCAAGTATTCGCTGGACAAGTGGCTGACATCACGGCGACGACGAACGACACGGCGTTTGACAGTCTTGTAGCGGTAACCTTCAGAGGCGGAGAAAGTGTGAGCTGGTTCAGAGGCAGCAGTTTCATAAGAGGAAGATTCGAAAGATGTAGTAGGAGCCGAGTAAGAGGCAACAGGAGCGGGAGCAGAGTAAGATACAGCTGGGGCGGAAGCAGCAGGAGCTGGGGCAGAGTAGGAGACAGCTGGAGCAGGAGCAGAGTAAGAAGCAACTGGAGCTGGAGCAGGAGCAGAGTAAGATACAGCTGGGGCGGAAGCAGCAGCAGATTGGAAGGATTGAGCTGGAGCAGATTGGAAGGTTTGAGCAGATTGGAAGGATTGAGCAGGAGCAGAGTAAGATACAGCTGGAGCAGAAGCAGCAGCACGGAAAGTTTGTTTAGCAGGAGCTGAGTAGGATACAGCTGGAGCAGGAGCAGAGTATGAAACAGCTGGAGCGGAAGCAGCCTCAACATGATAAGAAGAAGTAGAAGGAGCAGCACTGTAGCTAACAGCGGGAGCTGAAGCAGCATGTTGAGTAGGAGGCAAGTAGGTGTTGGACAAGTGGCTGACATCAGCAGTTGCGGCGGCAACAAATGCGCACAAAACGATGAAGAATTTCTAAAATTGAAGTAAAAAATTGTAATTAGTATTATTTTGCTCTCTCTCTTCTAGGAACCATTTTGATAAGTTCCCTAAACACCTTAAACTATACTAACCATTTTGAAGTGCTTATTTCCTTCTAGATGTAGAATCCAATAGAAAATGATACTTTCTTCCGCTCATCTTAACGCTTTTATACAAAATATTGGATGCAAGAAATTTGCATAACTTGCACAAAATATTCAAAAAAAATATATTTATGACAAAATTTTGTTGTTGCAAAACTGTTCTTGCAGAAATATAACTAAAAAGTCATATGTACATATATGCAAGCCGGTTTGAAATTCTTGTATAATTCTTAAATTCGAAATATTGAACATGTTTTTAACAACTTTTTAATTATTATTTTGACTGCTTTTTTTTGCATACACTTTTAAACTAGTGCGATCATAAAATCGAAAAACTAATGCAGTATTAAAACGAAATGTGTGTTTTTTTTTAAATATTTTTTAAATGTATTTTTATTGTATTCTTCTTATAGTTTCAGATCGTTGGTATTTTTTCTAGAGATTTTGTTTCCGGTACAAGAAGTCTTAATACTTTAAAATGTATATAGTTTGTAATTCTCCCAAAATGGAGAACTAATGAAATCACTTTATGAAAACTGGATCCCTAAACTTAATGACGACGGAAGACGACGCGACGGTGGGTCTTGTAACGGTAACCATCAGCGGCCAATTCGTGGGCGGGAGCGGCTTCGTCTTGTTGAACAGGGGGCAAGTATTCGTTGGTGGGGGCAGCTACGGGAGCGGCTTCTTGTTGTACAGGGGGCAAGTATTCGTTGGAGGGCAAGTGGCTGACATCACGACGGTTGCGACGGTAGACAACACGACGGTGGGTCTTGTAACGGTAACCATCATCGGCCAATTCGTGAGCGGGGGCAGCTTCTTCAACTACAGCGTTGGAAACTTCTTGGACGGGAGCAACTTCAACGGGAGCGGCTTCTTGTACAGGGGGCAAGTATTCGTTGGAAGGCAAGTGGCTCACATCACGACGGTTGCGACGGTAGACAACACGACGGTGGGTCTTGTAACGGTAACCATCATCGGCCAATTCGTGGGCGGGGGCAGCTTCTTCAACAACAGCGACTTCTTGGACGGGAGCATCTACAACGGGGGCAGATTCTTGTACAGGGGGCAAGTATTCGTTGGAGGGCAAGTGGCTGACATCACGACGGTTGCGACGGTAGACAACACGACGGTGGGTCTTGTAACGGTAACCATCAGCGGCCAATTCGTGGGCGGGGGCAGCTTCTTCAACAGGGGCAACTTCAACGGGAGCAACTTCAACGGGAGCAGATTCTTCTACAGGGGGCAAGTATTCGTTGGAGGGCAAGTGGCTGACATCACGACGGTTGCGACGGTAGACAACACGACGGTGGGTCTTGTAACGGTAACCATCAGCAGCCAATTCGTGGGCGGGAGCAGCTTCTTCAACAACAGCGACTTCTTGGACGGGGGCACTTCAACGGGAGCAGCTTCTTCTACAGGGGGCAAGTATTCGTTGGAGGGCAAGTGGCTGACATCACGACGGTTGCGACGGTATACAACACGACGGTGGGTCTTGTAACGGTAACCATCAGCGGCCAATTCGTGGGCGGGGGCAGCTTCTTCAACAGGGGCAACTTCAACGGGAGCAACTTCAACGGGAGCAGATTCTTCTACAGGGGGCAAGTATTCGTTGGAGGGCAAGTGGCTGACATCACGACGGTTGCGACGGTATACAACACGACGGTGGGTCTTGTAACGGTAACCATCATCGGCCAATTCGTGAGCGGGGGCAGCTTCTTCAACTACAGCGTTGGAAACTTCTTGGACGGGAGCAACTTCAACGGGAGCGGCTTCTTGTACAGGGGGCAAGTATTCGTTGGAAGGCAAGTGGCTGACATCACGACGGTTGCGACGGTATACAACACGACGGTGGGTCTTGTAACGGTAACCATCATCAGCCAATTCGTGGGCGGGAGCAGCTTCAACTTGCTCAACAGGGGGCAAGTATTCGTTGGTGGGAGCAGCTACGGGAGCAGCTTCTTGTACAGGGGGCAAGTATTCGTTGGAAGGCAAGTGGCTGACATCACGACGGTTGCGACGGTAGACAACACGACGGTGGGTCTTGTAACGGTAACCATCATCAGCCAATTCATGGGCGGGAGCAGCTTCAACAGGGGCAGCAGCGACTGGAGGCAAGTACTCATTGGTGGGAGCAGCAACGGCAGCGGATTCTTGCACGGGGGGCAAGTATTCGTTTGAGGGCAAATGGCTGACATCAGCAGCTACAGCTGCGATCACAGCGAAAGCAATCAAGAAAAATTTCTACAAATCACGAAGAAAAATATATATAATTAGCAAAATAATCCAAATCCTCGGTGTTCAGGTAAAACCTACCATTTTCGTTTTTTGTATTAAATTAACTGATCAATCTAATCCAACGACTTTACACTGTATTTTGAATGTTTACAGTAGTAACTCTGAAACTAGAATGTTGTAGTCACAGAACTAATTCAAACTATTTATACAGAATCTCTTAAGTTAACAACGCTTGTAACTCTTCTTCTTAGATTTGGCTAAAACTATAAACAATAGCAACAACAAACGGCGTTAACAGCAAATTTAAGAGCCAACTAACAATCTTCGCAGCATGGATCAGCTGTAAAAGTTTCGCACAAAACGTACGCACACAAAGCATATACAATGCTAAAGATGAAGAACAAAAGAAACGTAGAACATAGAGATCAACAACAAACACTTGATAGATCCAATAAATATATAAACTCACAAAAAGGGATTGTTAATGTTAATGAGATATTTAGATGATAGTTATGATGATATTGGTGGTGGTGGTGGAGTTGTTAGTGTTAGTTTAGTGTTGGCGTTTGATCGGTCGTAATATTCATGTTATTGTTGCTGTTGGTAGGTTCATCTATTCCAGCTTCTTCTCTCCCAATAATTTATTCATATTTAATTGCCAACCAATTCATAGTGATCAGTAGTAGTAGTAAATATAAATATTGTTTAGTTGTGTGTTATTATCTATTAAATCATATGTATCTATGTTTGTATCTATTAGTTTATAGTAAATATGTATGTTTTTTTTTTTTTTGGAAATTATGAATTGGATGAATTGTTTTTTATTTATTATAGATTTGTGTTATTAATCTTACTCAGATTGAATTATTTAATTTTATTTATTTATAAAAATTATTTAATTTTTATGCGTTTTAAAAAAATATATTTTGTTTTTCTTTTTTTTTTTGCTATTATTTGTTGCCTTGGCAACATGTACTCTTCAACACACACCTCAACTTCGTTATTTAATTATTCGCAATTTAAAGTAATGAAAAAAAACTTCATAGAACACAACATTTTAAGAGAAGATCACTTTAATAAATTCCCATTTATCACTGTAATTAAAGAAATGTACAATTAAAGAAACCTCTTTAATTGTACTTTTTTCCTCTTTTAATATATATTTTTTTGTGTTTGTATTCTACGAATCAATCACGTTTTTGTTCCGTATTTTTTCTTAAATACAAATCAATTTCATTTGAATTTAAAGCTTTAAGTTATTAATAGTTTGCCAAAAAAAAAAACAAAAGATTTATTAGTTAAAACAACATAAATCATTTATCAAGTATCCTCGATCACTTTAACTGAAATTTGATGATAGACAGATCATTGACCATAACAGTGCATTAGTTGCATATTAAGTACGCAATGGTTTTTTGATTGATCAGAGATGTTAATCAGTTCTTTTGCAATTTAATTTGTCTTTATATCAAATATTTTTCAAGATCATTTTAGAAAGATTGTTATGATCGGTTTCTGAATCACAGGATTTTCTCAAAAATCAAGAGGAACACATCTGGATGATTTCAGTCAACTACTATTGTGAACTGGAAGTGGATAATACTCTTTTCTAATATCCACCAGCTTAGAACCATCTCTAATCCGGCAGCAGATTGCCACGAATTTTAGATGTAATTGAGCTATTATTCAATATCTAGTATCAATCTGTCTCAAAATTGTCGGCACGATTGTGTACCCGATCGTCCTATATGTTCAGTAAAAACTAAAAAATAGAACAAATATCAAGTCCTGTAGTGCGGGATCTCTTTTGATAGCTGGCCTTTTGGCTAGCAAAGCATTTTTCTGCGGCGATCTTGAGAACATTGAAGATCAGACATTAAACTTATTAAATCAACACATTTATGATAGTTTAAACCCTATTCCGGGTTGCGAATCTAATAAGTGAAATCGTCTATTAATATCGTCCATTTTCAATATCAAATGTGTAGTACTTTCAACTGACATGACTAGATGATCTTCGAACCAAAACGATCGAGTACTCGGTCGTCTAATTTAATTAGTGAAACTGTTGATGAGACGTAGTTAGTTAGTTATTAGTTAGTTAGTTAGTAGTTAGTTAGTTAGTTAGTTTGTTAGTTAGTTGTTGTTGTTCGTTAGTTAGTTTTGTTTTGTTTGTTTGTTATGTTTTAGTTAGTTTAGTTAGAGTTCGTTCTTCGTTCGTTCGTTCGTTTTCGTCGTTCGTTCGTTCGTTCTTCGTTCGTTTCGTTCGTTCGTTCGTTCGTTCGTTCGTTCGTTCGTTCGTTCTTTCGTTCGTTCGTTCGTTCGTTCGTCGTTCGTTCGTTCGTTCGTTCGTTCGTTCGTTCGTTTCGTTCGTTCGTTTCGTTCGTTCGTTCGTTCGTTTCGTTCGTTCGTTCGTTCGTTCGTTCGTTCGTTCGTTCGTTCGTTCGTTCGTTCGTTCGTTCGTTCGTTCGTTCGTTCGTTCGTTCGTTCGTTCGTTCGTTCTTCGTTCGTTCTTCGTTCGTTCGTTCGTTCGTTCGTTCGTTCGTTCGTTCGTTCGTTCGTTCGTTCGTTCGTTCCGTTCGTTCTTCGTTCGTTCGTTCGTTCGTTCGTTCGTTCGTTCGTTCGTTCGTTCGTTCGTTTCGTTCGTTCGTGTTCGTTCGTTCTTCGTTCGTTCGTTCGTTCGTTCGTTCGTTCGTTCGTTCGTTCGTTCGTTCGTTCGTTCGTTCGTTCGTTCGTTCGTTCGTTCGTTCGTTCGTTCGTTCGTTCGTTCGTTCGTTCGTTCGTTTCGTTCGTTCGTTCGTTCGTTCTTCGTTCGTTCGTTCGTTCGTTCGTTCGTTCGTTCGTTCGTTCGTTCGTTCGTTCGTTCGTTCGTTCGTTCGTTCGTTCGTTCGTTCGTTCGTTCGTTCGTTCGTTCGTTCGTTTCGTTCGTTCGTTCGTTCGTTCGTTTCGTTCGTTCGTTCGTTCGTTCGTTCGTTCGTTCGTTCGTTCGTTCGTTCGTTCGTTCGTTCGTTCGTTCGTTCGTTCGTTCGTTCGTTCGTTTCGTTCGTTCGTTCGTTCGTTCGTTCGTTCGTTCGTTCGTTCTTCGTTCGTTCGTTCGTTCGTTCGTTCGTTCGTTTCGTTCGTTCGTTCGTTTCGTTCGTTCGTTCGTTCGTTCGTTCTTCGTTCGTTCGTTCGTTCGTTCTTCGTTCGTTCGTTCGTTCGTTCGTCCGCTTCGTTCGTTCGTTTCGTTCGTTCGTTCGTTCGTTCGTTGTCGTTCGTTTTCGTTCGTTCTTCGTTCGTTCGTTCGTTCGTTCGTTCGTTCGTTCGTTCGTTCGTTCGGTTTCTTTCGTTGGTCGGCGTTCCTCTCCTTCTCGGTTGTCTTCTCCTCCTCCTCCCCTCCCGTCCTCTCCCCTCTGTCTTCCCCCTGCTCCTTTACATTCTCTTTCTCTTTCCTTTCCGCACCCATACTCCTCTCCTGCATTATCATTTCCTAGCCCCCCCCCCAACCTCGTTCGTCATACATCTAACTACATTATTAAATAATTTTCATCAAAGCGCCAGCTAAACATTACTCTGGGTGTTATAATGCCAATTATGTTAAAAATTTTGAACAAATTAGTCTTCTCCTTGGTTGTTTTCATTCATTAACAAATTTTCTAATTCAATAAATCCAAAAACAAAATTATAAATAAAATTTAATAATAGTTTTTTTTTCTGAATTTTATATTAAAATCTATAAATACTTCGCATAAAATTTGTTTTTAAATTTTATGATGTGTTTTAAAACAGTCTGAGAAAACGCCTGCTGTTAACCTCATAACTAATTAACACTAATCAAAATAAATTGCATAGATTTTTTCCAATAAACCTAAATAATGTTTATTAAAAAAAACAACAACAAAATCTAAAACAAAAGGAACTAAATTAATACACTAAGAATTTTATTTTTAGTTGCGGAACCAATATTTCAAACTCTAAATCATATAAATTAAATATAACGTTTCATAAATTTTAGCCGCAGGCTTTAAATCAATAATATTTGGCGTTTTGTTACGAAAAGTATATATATATATATATATATATATATATATATATATATATATATATATATATATATATATATATATATATATATATATATATATATATATATATTTTTTTTTAATATAAAAGAGTTTAAATGCTATTTTTAAGTATATTTTAAAAAACTAGTTTGAAAAAAAAAATAAAAACAATTTAGTTTAAATGAATTTGTAGTTAAGTAAACAATGATACCCATGATTAGAAAAATATAGATATATTAATTTTAATTTTTAAGAAAAAAAAAAAAAGCAAAATATTAATTAAATGATTGTATTTAAAACTTAGTTGTTTATACTAAGTATAAAATATTAAAAACTATAAATTTGGGGACTTATTCATCATTTGATCGAAGTATCTTTAAGATACTTCAACTTATTTAACACTTTATTACAAAATTATAAGAATGATATAGAGATAAACAGATGTTTATGTAGATCAGTGATGTAGATCAGTGATCGTTTATAAAAAAGTGGGGTTATATTACTTTTAGTTATCTAAGACAATATAGCTGTACCATACTCTTGCTGAAGGATCTAGAAGAAAGAAATCCTATATTTGTGCAATTTACCGATCCTAATAATTTTCTGAATACACTATACTTTCCCAATGTTGATCTATACAACATCTATCTGACAGTTGTAGGAGCAAGTAGTGAGAAATGTTCCATAATCAGTAAGTCATTTTCAGTATAATCGTATCAAAAACAAGTTTACTTTTTATTACTCTTTTCCTAACGCGACAAAGTATGTAGATCAGTGATCAATTGATTTACAAAAAAAAGATAAAGTTCATATTGATCTTTTCATTCAAAACTTAAATTTTCATAATCTGAACACTTAGTAGTAGATAATGTGATCTTTCCCCCACATCTAATTTGAGATCTGTGATCGGTGCTGTGATTTTATAATCAAAGATAGGTTGCTTATTAATTTATAGCAAAACAATATAAATCTATCCATCAGATTCATTACTCTCTCCCAGACATTTTATCTAGATTAGATAAATTTATCAAATAGTAAGGGTATATTGCAGGGTCTAGAAGAAAAAAATTACCCACCAATTGCCATACCGATCTGAAGTGAATTGAAAACCTAATGTAGATCAGTGATTAAAAAAAACAGTTTGATATGATCTAATAATGGGAACAATAGGTCAATAGCCTAATCAAAAAACTTTATATGATCCAGTAGTTTTAT